TTGTACAGCGAGTGGTGGTCGAGGATACACGGCTGCTCCGGCAAGGCTTTGGCCCCCACCAGCAGCTTGCCGTGCGGCTTGCTGCACAGCTTGGCCCCGCTGCTCTTCTTCACCGCGGGCTTGGACGAGCTGCTGCTACTGCTGCTCCCCCCGGGGCTCCCGCAGCCTTTCTCCCCGGGCTTGGAGCCGCCAGACTTGACCTTTTTCCGCGGTCGGTACTTGTAGTCCGGGTAGTCGGCCATGTGCTTGAGTCTCAGCCGCTCGGCCTCCCTGATGAACGGGATCTTGTCGCTGTCCTTCAGCTGCTTCCAGCGCTTGCCCAGCCGTTTGGAGATCTCGGCGTTGTGCATGTCCGGGGACTGCTCCATGATCTTCCTGCGCTCGATCTGGGACCACACCATGAAGGCGTTCATCGGCCTCTTGATGTGCCCGCTTGGTGTCTTGCACCAGCTCGGGTCGTTGGCTTTGCCCCCGGTGGAAGCGGTGGAGCCCGGGGTCGGGGAGGAAGCCATGTCCAGCTCGATGCCGGTGCCGGACTCCGAGCTCTCTCCGGCCAGCAGTGCCTCGCTGTTGTCGGAGTTGCCGGTCTGCTGGACCATGGTGCTGCGAGCTGTGTCCCGGAGCGGTGCGGGAGCTGGGGCATCCAATGCAGCGTGCTCAGCCGGGCTCAGGCGATAGAGCCACGTTTGGTCTTGTGCTGGCCTCTTCGGCAGAACTCGGGCTCACGTTACTGGCACATCCAGCCGCTGGCAGACATCATCGCTCTGTCTTTATTACTTGTCACAGTTTATTAGGACTGGCTCCAGGGGGTGCATGAGCACAATACAGACAGTCCCGGGAAGGATGTATGTGTGTCTAGTCCTGAGAGTGAGTGCTTCCACACACAGATATATGGTGTATACGGGATGTATGTGTATAGACTGAAGCGCCTCACACAGCTATGAGCTGGGCTCTATTCCGCCTCGCGTCCCTTTATCCCTTCCCCGAGCACCTCTCCGCCAATCCCAGACTGTTTCCAACGCTTCCTCGTGCCAAGCTCCGCCCAGCCGCTCTCCATTGGCTGGGAACGCGATGCAATAATAATCACCGCGTGCAATGAGAAGCTCCAGAGCTGACCTCATTCCGATTCACACACAGCAAACTTTCCTGCGAGGCCGGGGGAGAGAGAGCCCTGTGTGTATGTCATGTGTATGTATAGATCTACATGTGTGTGATATGCATGTATATAGATCTGTATATGTAATATGCATGTATACATAAATGTACACATGTATGTGTATACATCAACATGTGTATGTATATATATCTGTGTATGTAAAATGCATGTATACATACATCTGCATGTGTGTGATATGTATTATGTGTGTATATATATATAGAGAGAGATGTGTGTGTGTGTAATATGCATGTATGTATAGATCTACATGTGTGTGATATGTATGTATATAGATCTGTGTAAAATGCATGTGTGGAGAGAGAGAGATCTGTGTATGTATGGATTTACATGTGCGTGTGTATGTAGATATGTGTATGCATAGATCTACATGTGTGTGTAATATGTGTTTATACATAGATCTACATGTGTGTAATGTGCATGTATAGATTTACATTTATACATATATATCACATACATGCACAGGTGTGTGGTATGTATAGATCTACATGTTTGTTTGTAATGTGTATGTATAGATCGAAGTGTGTGTAATATGTATGTAGATCTGTGTGTATGTAAATATAGATCTGAATATATGTGTGTGTGTGTAGTATGTATGTATAGATGTGTATGCATCAATCGAGAGATATCTGTGTGTAATACGTATGTTGATGTATCTATTTGTGTGTAATGTTTATACATCTGTACATACACCTCACGCCTGTACACTATCTCCCCCTGCAATCCTACACCTGGAAATACAATTGTCTTGAGGATCACACATCCCTCCATCCTGTCATGTATACGGCTCTCTCTGCACGTTACCTGCTTAGTATGTTTCTAATACTAGGAAAACTCACAATGTTGACCACGCGTTTAAACCACCACATTGAACAATATATATGTATACACACCCACCCATCCTCATACACGTGTATCCTCCTAACCAAGGCGCAGTCATGTCTAGCAGTGAGGATACATGAGGATTGCAGTGACAAATGACAGTGCTCGGTGTACACATGCATGTAGTACACATGGCTCCATCCATGGATAATGTATGACCTTTGCCTGGCATGTATTGTAGATCTGGGTCCGTCCATTGATTGATTGATACAGTCGTCACACATCAGATACTTATGAATGGTCCTGTGGCAGCAGTGTGATATCACATAGCGGAAAGTGTATAGTGCTCTTTATACGGAGATGGCTTGTTCTGCTAGGATGGCACATGCTACGGTGGTGGTGGGCTCGGTACAGATATGGGGAAGACACACTGCCCTCCATGATACAATGCACGGTGCAGAGACTGTGCCAGGATGTCACGCCCCCCTCTACATTCATGGCTCCCGTACACATGGCTGCAGCTCTGCTCAGCGGCTATCAATGAACGGGGAGGACCATGACACAACGCCGATACAATGACGGCTCAGGTGATTGTGTCTTCTGGGGAAGGAGAAGCTTTCCGGATGAGCAGTGCCGCCTGTGTCCGCTCTATCCTCAGATCAGGCAACCCACGTGCTCCTCCTGTGGAAGTTTCCCCCAGGCGAGCGACAGGAGGAAGGAAGGGGAAGGCGGCAAGGAGCGGCGGGGAATTGCA